AGTCTTAACTGCTATTTCTAAAAGTGATTGATACATAATACCCCTCCATCCTCTTGAGTTCCATCTTGTGCTAGTAACTTTGCACTCTCTGATGTCTTGCAAGGTTTAGTCTGTATTGCTATTATCACTTCTAGCATTCAATTGGGTTTAAGTTTAGACGGCCACATTTAAAAGTGGTTTACATTGTTATTATCACTTTTGGTATCAATTTTGTCTAAGTTTAAATTGCTACATTCATTAGTGATTGACATACCTTGCAGCTAATAGACTAGACTTTTTTATGAGTCCTAAGGCTATTTGGTATTTTACTTCACTATTTTCAATAAAATTTATTTATTTTCTATAGACATTTATTTTGGGGTGGTTTGAAGGAGAGCGGCCCGTCTTGTCACGAGGTGGTCTCTCCTTCATTTTCTGTTTTTTGTATAAATCAGACATTTATTGTGAAATTTATTTTATGGTAACAATATTAATAGTTATCGGTGTCTTCCAAATATCACATACACATGCATCAAGAGACCCATTACAATACACACTGTAGGCACTTCTCAGCGCCATTAAAAACATTCTCTCTGCATTATTTTTAAATGTCAGATTCAGCTAAAAATCAGGACATAATATTGCTGCCTGGTAAAGCCACCCTTTGGGAGCAGATGCCATCTCTGTCTTCATAGACTTTTAGAAGGCCTGACATGTTTTCTGGCTTTCATACGTAAAAGTCTGTGAAATGGAAATGAAAACAGCTTTTTCTGTCAACCTGTCACTGATAGAAGCTTTTACATTCTATCAGAATGACTAAACCTTAAAGCAGTGACTTCAATGCTGTGTGTATCTGAGAACTCCCCAGTGTTATCAGATTTATCAAGTCTTGGTGTCTGATAAAGAACCAAAGGGATTTGTGCCACAGTATTAAAATTTCATTCACATATCTGATAAACCGTCTGTGACTATAGCATGGTATGACATGAAATGGAGAGGGAGAAGTCCGATAATTTCTCTGTCATTTTCTTGCTCACATATATGTACAACAAATCTAGTGTGGATTCAAAAACTGTACAAGGCCTAAAAACTCATCATGTTAATAAAATAAAAAAAATGTAATAAATTAAGTAAGATTAATAATAGAAAGACAGGGCATATGATAACACTGACCTTTTTTTTTATATACCTCTATAACGTTGGGAAATAGTAGACTTGTTCATTTGTTCTCAAACAAATTGTGATTCATAAAAATTGTGGGGGATCAACAGGTCATCCGAATTGCAAAATCCCAAAGCACCATAGGGATGTATCATGAACAAATGAACCAGACAATGGATGCACATTATAATTTGTTTTGTGATTCAGAGTTCCGTCCAGTGCGCCAAAATATAGAGTTAATTGAGTAATGGTTAAGGGACCACCACCAAATGATGTTTGTTTTTTTCACGGATCAATTAAGGAAGAAAGAGCAGTAAAAAATAATATATATATATTTTATAAATATATATCGGTTATTAACTAAAGTGAGAGTTCAAAGCAGGTCATAGGCCAAAGTAGCAAAAAAATTACTTTGGCCTACAATTTGAAATACATTTTAAATTCACTTTGATTGTCACTTTAGTGAATAACCCTGATAATTTCTAAATATATAAATATAGATTTTTTTTCTGCTCTCCCTTTTTCTCCAAATATTGGTTACTTTTCTCATTTGATCTGTGAACCAAATGGTGTGAAAATGCACCTAACAGTGTACTGGAAAAAAAAAATATGTTTACATAAATATTTTTTGTATAAAATTTATATTTTGCAGAACGCTGATTGGCTATTTTTTGTACCTTTTTGGTTCATTTCATTTGGTTTCCCAAATGTTTTGTATGGACAATATTTGAAAAAGCCGAACTGCCACGTGGACACATTTCGAACTACCAGACCAAAATGTATTGTGTGATTTGACTGAACCAAATTCTTTGCCATGCACATGACTAGTAAATAGTACACAATTTAAAGTAGCAATATTCATATCATCCAATTACAAATGCCAACATAGACCTTACATGCAATCGTTATTCTATTTTCATTTGCTATATTTAAGTTTGGAGTATGTCAGTATCTGAAAAAAAAGAAAGAAAAAAAACAAAAATACACTATTTTTCTAAAATGTATGCTTCAGTAAACCACATTAGGATAGACAGAAAACTTGTTATAAGCATTCACATTCAAAGAACGATGATAAGCAGCACATTGAGTTAAAAGACACAAAGTGAGTACATAATAATGCATTGCACTTTGATGAGGTTAGTGATGTTTCTCAGTGGAAAACCGGATAAGAATGCATTTATTTTCTCTGTATTTTCTTGTTCATTCCCTCAAGGTTTAATACCATTAAGCTCTATTTGCTCTCTAACCATTCTTTTATGTTTGAAAAGAAAATATGAAAAAACGCAGGCCCTTCACAGGAAGGAAAAGCTTGCCATGTTCTGTTGTCTAAAAGACAAGAATGATAGCTCTGAGCGATTTCTTTTTTTTTTTTTTTTCTCTTTAAAATCATAGGGCAAAATGCCTCATTGGCTACAGATATTAACTTTTGTGCTGAACGCCCAGTTGGCGTTGCTGTGACAAATGAGTTTTACCTGCTACTATAAAATAATCCCCAATCTCTCCTTGCACCTCCCTTTATCCTTTCCTTGCATAACCCCCAGGAGCCCAGCAACAGAAATGTGCCCTACAGCACCATCTGTTTCTGCCAGAATCCATATTAGGAATCTACAGAAAGCAGCTTACTCACAGAGCAATTCTAAGCAAATCTTCCTATTCTGATTTTTCGTCTAATGCTTGCTCCCTACGTGACCAGGACTGGCAAGCTATACCCACATGACAAAGGAAAGAATGACTAAATTATTCTATCCAAAGCCTAGGTCTAGTTTCCAATACAGTCTTGCATGCAGTGTAACTGTGTATATAAATATATCCTGCAGAAATAAATCCACTCACTTTACAAAATTGCATCTTCTGTTTCAAAAATGGCTTTCAGCTTTGAAATACAAAAAAATGCGATACATATATATGTGTGTGTGTGTGTGTGTGTATTTTACTTGCTGCTGTACAAATCCGCTGTTCTATAATGTGTGTAAAAGATATGTACCCCGCAACCTAGCAAATAAGCAAAATGTCATGCAACGAATATATAGTTTTTTGTACACAGCTTTTCAACAGTTGGCCACAATGGTTTCTAATAGTATTTTTATTAAACTTTTAAACAGAAATGTATTAAGTTGCTTGTAAAAAATAGTCAAGAATGGAGTGCATTTGGGGTTTATTTCTGGGCAGACATAATTACAGGTCAACAATAGTACAGTTACTTCTAGACAAAATTGTTATGGAATTCACACTTCCTAATTCACAGTATAGTGAATAACTCTGTTCCCTGTGTAGAACATCAGAGGTAGATGGATTTGTCAGGTTTGCAGTATGGTTGTTTACTCCCTTGCCATCCATATTGTTATGTCACCTATGAAGGTTTAATACAACATCTGAAAGAGTCTGAGGTTGTTTGAATAATGAAGATGAACTAAAAAAATCTAGGTGTCTATAAAAAGGGACACTATAGTCACCAAAACAACATTAGCTTACTGAAACAGTTTTAGTGCATAGATCATGCCTCTGCAGTCTCACTGCTCAATTCTTTGACATTTAGGAGTTAAATCACTCTTCTGTTTATGCAGCCCTAACCAAACCACCCGGTTGTTACTCACACAAACTGCAAGAAAACAAAATGGTTTAATTTTCAAACAGATGTAACTTAAAGGGACTCTCCAGTGCCAGGAAAACAAACCGTTTTCCTGACACTGCAGGTCCCCTCTCTCTCCCACCCCCTATCCCAAGTTGCTGAAGGGGTTAAAACCTGTATCCAACGCCGATGTCCCTCGGCACCGGTTTAGGGTCTGCCCACGCTCCTCCCCCACCTATGTCCCTTGGCTGGGGAGACCTATTGAGCATGCGCGGCCACCGGCAGGGGAGACCTAATGCGCATGCGCGGCTCTTTACAGGAAGTGTTTAGGAAGGCTGTGTAAGTCACGTGCAGAGAGTGACTAGGGCTGCATAAACAAAGTGATTTAACAGTAAGTGGAAGAGAATTGAACAGTTAGACTGCAAGGGCATCATCTATACACCAGAACTGCTTTATTAAGCTAAGGTTGTTTTGGTGACTAAAGTGTCCCTTTAACCTTTGCTTCCGTTTTTATTTCATTTAATACGTTTTTAAATTATGAAGATACAAAAAAACAGCAGATGTCGATTAAAAGTGGTTAAAAGAAACAAACACACACAAATGTATAATCAATAAGTATGAAAAAAAAAATGAAAGGGAAAATGGTCTATAAAAAAAACACTAATTCTGATCCCAAAAAATAAAACTCAGCCACTAATATCCTCACTCACTCACTATACTGATATTTAAACACGGGGAAAAGTTGTAACTAACTGGAGCAGATAAGGTCCATTGTTTTGTATATATACATGGCATAACTGGTCAACAGAACATTTTTGTGGGTTGTGGTGTGAATTGCTTACCCCACAATCATTTCCTTAAGGTATGTGACACTTTTTGTAAGCAAATGTCTGGCTTGGAGGCCCTGGAGATTTAACCGTTCCATGCCTTTTATATAAAGAAACATTTTTCAAGCTATTGCTCAATTTAAAGATTATTCAACTGTCTCTAAATGGGGCTTGGTATGAAACATGAACTACTGGATGGCATTGGGACTTGTTTTAAGAAATTCTTATACAAATCTCAAATTCACCATTCTGGAATATATTATTACCCTTGTTAAGACACCCCTGGTGTCTTTAAGGGAAACCGCCGCTTAGTTAACCTTCCCTCTTCGCAATATCAATAACTCCGTTCGCATAGACTGCGGTATACGAACCACCATCAGAGGAAGCGGTAATCTCCTGTACGGGATCCGTAATAGGCTCCAAACTCCCGAACAGAGATCCACGAATCGCCGCTAGCTGCCGAACAAGTATATCCACCAAGCGGCTTTCGGCTCCAGCAATCAGTCTCTAGTCATCGGTAATAAATCCCTCCAATAACGAGACCAAGCTCCGCATTGAGGGTCAAACAGGATCTGGCTTTACTGTGGGCTACCCGCCCGCATTTATGCAGGTCTCCCACTTGGTGGACACTCCCCTAGGGGACCAAATGGGAGACTGTAATGACAGATGTACATGGGGACATTTCAGACATACAGATACAAACTTTTCCCACAATGCAGTATGGTTTCCTCCCCTCTGCCCTGGAGATAATTGAGAAGTAATTCAATTATCTCCAGGACAAAGACAAATCGCCATCTTAAATAAAACCCACAAAAATATATAATTTCACAACCACCGAACACTCTGCATTCGTATCACATATCCCCAGATAGCCTGGATCTAAGTGCATATTATTAGCGAATAGCGCTCAGAACCCATACGCATAGTTCAATCGCCATGGAGTCAAAGTTCTTACAGTCTTTCGGTATGCGATTGACTCCATGGGAGGCTATCTGGGTTAAGTCTTTTCGTGTGATTCCAAACTCCCGAACGACCGGTGTTCGCATGCTTTCGTCGATGGAGCAGGGCGACCCGTTGTTTCAGTGGTGTTCGGCAGAAGAAGTGTCAGTTTTTAGTTCCATGAAATCAATGCCAAACACCGCTGTTCTTTCGTGCGATCTAAAATGGCCCCTGCCTCGTGGTCGACATGTGAATGATGGCCACCCTGTATTCGGTTTTAATTGAGAAGTGTCTGCGGTTAACCACAACGTTCTAATTGGGATCAAGAGGTTAACCAGCAGCACACTTCTATCCTGGGTGGCCATCCGTTCGGTAGGTTTGTTCGGTAAAAAGGGTCATTCGTATGCATGGGGTATGGCAACAGCCCTTTACACGAAAGGAGGGCAAAATAGACGAATCCTCCACGAATAGGCATACAGATGGTTCTGTCACAACCCTTATTGTGTTTAAGTTCCTTGGTTTCTTTTAATAAATGGACATTTAAAATCAATGATTGTTAGCTATAATATACAATCTAAAGAAAAATACTTACAAATGTGTTAATGGTGATTTAGAACAGAGAATTGAGTAACTTTAGCACATTTTCAGTGGAAACAGCATTCTGTCTACATTGCAAAACATGAGCAATAGCACGTGTGTTCTCATGCAATTGAGATTGTTTTACATTAATCAGCCAGTGGCTGATATCTTGTAACTCTTTGCTAGCATAGCAAAATTGTATGAGACAAACTTTCACTGCTCTGTGTGCTTAAACAAATAAATTAATCATGCGTCCCATCCAATAAGGCAAGCAGCTGGTGCATTTCCATTCTAACTATAAGTAGCCAAGAGCTACTCATTTATTAAGTTGTCACCTTGCCTTGTGAGAATGAGAGCTATCTCAGAGGGCAGTAGATGAAATGGCCAATGACTAAATCTTTCTAAAATACAAAACTTTGTTAGAATGGTAATTCAGCCATGTTTTTTTACTATTTTCAAATATTAATGTATGTTATCTCGGGAGTAAACTCCAACCTGACTCATGGAAATAGTAGCTGAGTGCTGTGTTACTTGGTGTATGTGGTCTACAATGGCTCTTCTTTAAATTTTAAATCCAAATGCATTGTTGTTTTAGGATATTCTTTCACTGACAAAACAAAACCTGAGTTTGATCCAGTCCACCTTACAAAAAAAGTCTACATCATTGGCTAAGAGTCAGACTGCTCTATAATAGGTTATGCTTAACACCTTAACCATTTGTATTTAATATTACATGATGAAAAAGGTCCTTCAATGAAACAGACAGAGCATCAACTTCAAAAAAGTGTCAGAAAGTGAAATGGGCAGGTCTTAATTTGGCACTAAAACTTTTTTTTAATATTTGTCCACCTGTTAGTCATGGATAGTGAGTAATAACTATATCCATGCAGCCCAACGCCATGCCCATGGGAGTAAGTGGAAATACATGGGAGATATATCTGTACTTAGGAGATAATTGCATTTTGCTTTCTACTCTAGAACACAAAATAGAGTCAAATAAATTAACTATTTAAACAAATGTACAGGAATAACAGGAAGTTATTTCTGTGTTTATGAAATATATGCACAACTTTGTGATGTTTATTGTAGTTGCATACATCATGTTTGTAAGATGCACAGATACAAATCTGTATTGCATGTGAAAAACACAATATTAAAAAAACTTAATCAGAAATGAATGATAACATAGTAAAGAACAACAAAAAAATCTAAGCATACCAAGGTAAATAACATACAATGTCTACTTTGTCTGCTAAATGAATCAACAGTGAATGTTTGTCAATGTATCAATACTAGGACTATCAGAATTCCCTATACAACATTTATTCTTTTCAAATAATTTTTATTGTTTTTGAATAATAATAATACTAGAAATAACATTTAGACTTTTTTGTCAACGTTTTAACAAAAAGAAGGGTGCGCCTTTAATGTAAATATTTTGTACAAATAAAATAGCATAGTCCAAATAACTTAACACTAGTCCAGAATAATAAAGTCCACAATGGAAAGGAAAATTCTTGCAGAGCAGCAGTGATTTGTCACGGGTGTAGACCTGTAATTTCAGTGGAACATATGGAAAAGAAGCAGAACCTAGGTGGTAGGTATAGTTTTTCTCTCCTTCATGCTGTACACGCCAACAATCAAATAGGCCCTGAGAAAAAAGAAATTTGGAACAGGTATCAGCCACTTTTTCACTTTTATGATTTTTAGCGGTGCCATTTACATCTCTAACAATGTCATATTCGCAATCCAGAACAAAACTGGTGTCACCACCCAAAATCAATTTGCCTCTGACCTCATCTGAAACTTTATTAACAATCGATTTCAAAAAACAAAATTGCCCAGAGTTAGGTTAGATGTTTTTACAGAATCTATAGTGATACTGGGTGGGCTAGTCTTTCTTCAGAATATTGGGTACACTATCTGTCTTAAAATGAGTCTCCTGAATGAACAATACCTCTGGCTTATTACGTCTCACCTCTTTAAATAGAAGTCTTCATTTGTGCTGAGTGTTCAGTCCCTTCACATTAAAAATTTTAAAACCATTCCTATTGCTCAAAAAGAGCAAATATGGATAAAAGAAAAAATTGGGGAAGGAATCCGATGACAATGCACAACCCGAAACATATTTGAAAATTAAACAATCTTATCTTACCTTAGTGAGTAAGGTCCACCTGACCAAATTATGTTTGACTCCGTGTATCACTGAAGTATTATACAAGGTTATAACATTAAGAACATAAAACAACACATTATGGATGACATTTTCCATATTTTCAAGACATAACTAATAAAAATGTAAAAAAACTTGGTGAAGATCCCATAGTAAGGGAAAAATTTACAGGCCTATGTTGAGGGGGGAGAAGACTGGGAACACGGGGTATCATATATGTAAAATAAATAAATAAACAACAAAGAAAAAGAGCTATTGTTTACAATAGAAGAACAAATCAGTCTTTTGTATAAAAAAGTAGATTAGCCTAAAATAATAATCTTCACCAGTAGCAGGAACCAGTAGGAACCAGCAGATTTTATGAATAGTCCAGATTTTATGAATAGTAACAGCAACCAATATCTGGAGACTTGTAAAAAGAATAAGTAATCCAAGGATTCGGGCCCAAGGAACAGGAACCAGGATTTGAAGATCTTAAAGAACTGAAGAAATCCTAAATCTAAAGTCTTAAGAAAAGAACAGGAACCAAGGAACGAAAGAAGCAGAATCTAGAAACCATCAAGCCATTGGTCCAGGCTTGGTATCAGGAACTGAAGAGCCAGAACTTGGAAAACAGTGACTTATGATGGCTGTGTCTCCATGCATCTGAATTTCCTTGGACATGGGGCGTTGGCATTTGTGAAGGTTGAGAAGTAGCAGGTGACATTGCTGGAAGTGTATTTAGAACACTCATCCCTTCTTCAGGAGGCATGATAGCATAATTTTGACCATCAAGACGAAACAAGACTTTGACAGGAAATCCCCATTTGTAACGCATATTTCGTTGGTGCAGTTTAGCTGTGAACTGACCAAATTATCTCCTTTTCTGCATAGTGGCAGGGGAAACATCCTGAAATATTTGAATGTGACGATAATCATTCGGCATTCCATTAAAATGTAGAGAAATAAGAAAATCTTCTTTAATAGTGTATAAGTGGATTCTTGTGATCACATCTCTAGGAGCATACCTTAGAGCTGAATCCTGTTTTGAGAGACAGTGGATGTGGTTGATCATCAGATCAGCGTCAGTGAGATTTGGATTCACTGATCTCATGATGATTTTCATTTAATTTGAAAGTTCAGCAGGCTGAACAGAGTCAAGGATCCCCTTTATTCTCAAATTATTTATCTGACTCCGATCTTCCATATCACTCAATATAATATTGGTAGAATTTAATTGTAGTTCCAATGAGTGAATGCGCTTGTTAAGATTTGTTATCTCTGTAGCGTTTTCCTTTAGGGCTTCATCCGTTTCATCAGCTCCATATTACAAAACTGACTCCTTCTGAGTTATTGTAGAAATTAGGCTTTACATTTGTTTCTGAAAAATATTAAATTTTGCCTGATTATCTGCAACATTTGCCACACTTGGTCAGACGAAGCAGGAGATCTTTTAGAAGTTTCTGTGGACCGAGAGGGATGGGGTGCTCTGTATGGAAGAGAAGGCAAGTTACCCACTGCAGTTTACAAAGTGGGGGCCACCCATGTAATTAGGTCTGCCTGCCTCTTGCCAGACACTTTAGGTATTGCTCCAGCCCTATCTGAAGGCATATAAAATTCACTAGCCTCAACAGCTATCTTGGTTGTGGCAACATTGTGTTGGGAGGAGAAATGCACAAGGTCTTTAATCAGAGTTTGGGCAGTCTCCATTTCCAAATCAGCATCTTTATTTCTAATCGAGGCTCCAGTCTCACCACCTATATTTTGTGTCTTAAGAATTCTGGGGTTGGGGGCCGAACTCCCTCCTGACGGGACCATCAGCCATGAGGCAGGCAGCCCCAACAGGGATCGGGATCTCACGCTACACACACTCCTCTCAGCAGCCCATTCGCTTTTGAATGAGAGCGACCAGGCTGCTCTGGTGCCTATTCTATTGCGGCTCTGTGTGCACGCTGTGAGACTCGCGTGAGGTGATTCTCGCGGCTCCAAGCGTGCCGAGCACTCGGAGCGAGTGGAACCGCTCTTAGAGCTTGCGACTGATGTGGCTGCGGTCTCGCCGCCTGGATTCTGCAGCGAGCGGGTCGTTGCCGCACTCGCATATGTGTGAGTCTGTGTGCTGGGGCGGGAGAGTGCCGGCTTCGCTGATGTTGCAGTAGGGGATTTCTGCAGCAAAATAATTTGCACTTTTGGCAAAGAGGAGAGGCTAAGTCCCTTCATGCCCCTACTCACCCCTTCTTCAGTCCTCTCTATGGATTTCACTGCAGGGACACTTTTTTCAGGCTTCCTTTCCTTCTGCTTGTTGTTTGAGGTTTCCAACAGCTGAATGTAGCAAAAAGATGTTAAATGAAAATTATTTAAGGTCTTTTTGATCACTTTTGATCCCAATATCCCCAGAGCCTCTCTAAAAGGCGGCCATCTAAGATGGTGGCCAAACTCCGCCCGCTACAACATTTATTCTGCCACTATCCTATACATTACCATAAGTCCTCTTCTAAATAAATGAATACATAAACTGACTCCTACTTTGAAGGTGTCCATTGATGCCTCTACCCTTATTACAGTCCTGCAGCTGAAGGGCCATATATTGCCATATATTTCTCTTAGAAAATCCCAAAATACACAGTTATAGTACTGCATGAGAAGTATTGATTTCATTTTCCGAACTTGTCTCTGTTCCTTTTAATTCAGACACAGTTTTAAACACAGTTTTGAGAATTAACATTAACAGCATTTTAGCATTGCCCAAACAAGTGAAGCATTATATTCCCTGGTGTAAATGAGTGCAGTAATTGCTTAAAATTTTGAAAATAGGTTTTTAATCGGACCAAATGTTTCCAAATGAAATTGTCAATTTAATTTGACTAGGATTTCAAAATTATAATAATTGTTTTAATTTGTCCTGTATCAAATCTCCTTTAGTATAACAAGAGTTAAAAGAGCATTACCTCAACAAAGGTGAATTATATGATTTTGCAAGGTCAGTGATGCTTTGTGGCACATGTTTTAAAATATGATACGAGCCACAGCTGATTCAAATTAAATAGCACCTTGCAACTCAAATTTCTATTCAGATATTCATTTCCTTGTCTTCATTATCGGAATTAGATCCTCCTGGGGTCCTTTTGCTGCAATTACTCCAGGGACCAATGAAGTTTCTATAGAAACAACAGAATAAGCCAAAGGGATTTAGTTAAAAAGATCAGATTTGGTATCTGGCAACTACTAAAGACTGAAGAGGCCTCTCAGCTGATCACTTTACAATCACAACACAATAGCAGCCAATTCACAAAGTAAAGGGCCTTTTATTGTTTACTGCATCAACTTGACAGAGAAATTCCAGAAAAGAGTCCATTTTGTCCATTTCCACAGAAGATTTCTTATTTTGTATTGGTATGTTATACCATGTAAAATGGTAGCTAAAGGGAGCCACTGGCATCTCTCTATGTCAATAAAAAAAATTAAAAAAAGTACTGCCTAATAATTTGATTGTGTGCCAAGGAACAATAGAAAATAACTTAATTGCTGTTGTTAACGGCGATCGTTTAGAAATCAGAATTCCAAAAGTGGCAATGGTATCTTCAGTGACTTTAGTGCCTAAACTTCAAAACAGCTGTGCATATTCTGCTATCTATTTTGTGAATCTGTAATTAAACCACAAAAAAAGGAAACACTTTTCTAAATCCAGATTGCATATAGATATTTCCGCAAATTGTTTGCTATTTAAAGATACTAAAATGTGCATGATGCCTTTTATTTTTTAATATCATCCCCCAAGGTGGAACTCTGGCCATAATGTATATTACATCGGGGTATTTTTCTTTGACCTTCCACACTGCCAGTCATATATGTGTTAACAATGATGAACCTTGCAAATTATATATATATATTTTTTTTTTATATATATATATATATATATATACTTTTTTTTTTTTTTTAAATAGATTCTTTTTACTAGAGCAATTTTAGCAGACACAATCTGAAGAATGTGTTCCCATATGGAAGGGATGTAAAAAAAAATTATAAGCGTCAGAAAAAAAGCTGTATTTCAGCTGCTCCAAAATAGAAAACTAGCCTACCTGTAGTTTGCACAATCTGTTATAGAATATAGACAAAGGAATATTCACTAAAGTGAAAGCAAAATAATTCACAAGTACAGCAAGTTATTTAAAGTGATTGAAATAAAGAAAGGAACAGAGGCATTCTAAAAAAGGGAATATACAGAATGGATCTAGATTGAATATACTCAAGGAATAAAGTGTATAAATCATGCATCATTGATTCAGCATCCAATTGGCTAATAAACAGTAAATTGCTTTCATATGTTACTTTACAATTTATATAGAAATATTTTTTAATAAGAAATTAAATGGATCTTTGACATATTTTATTGTTCATTTTTTAATCACCTGCTGTAAATCTTGGGAGAGCTGCATACAGAGTTTAAATTGTTTTTGTCAGTGAATGAAACATCATGACAATTTGAATTACACATGGCTGCTGTACAGTTTATTAGTAAAAACTTTTGTAAAGTCAAGGATCTACATTTCCTACAACCCCATGCCAAGGAGAGGTTTACTGTGAACATTTAACAATATGCTTCATCATTAGCTTGTACCACTTTTCCTGTTGAAAACTTTTCTTTGGTCAGTTTGCTAAATAATCAGAATGATTTCATGTCTGAGGCTTTACCATGTAAAAATGCTTTTCTCCTCCTGCTCTTACAGAAAACATGCCTACTTTGAAAGATGGGTACACTAAACACCAAAGCAATGTTGGAACATGTCCCTGGAATACCACTGCCAGTTAGGAGTTACATCACTTTGTTTATGCAACCCTACCTCCACCCCCCCCCACCCCCCACCATCCTCCCTGTGCCTCCCTACCTTTTGAAAAAGTCTAAATTTTTAGCTTCTTTTAAAACATTGTATGTTTAATGTAGAAGTTATTGTCTCCTCCTCTGTTACTTAACCTACAGAAGCCTCAACTTCATGTGTGTGATTAGAGTTCAATTAACAGAGCAGGCAGTAATAACTTTTTTATTGAATCTTTGTGAGTCACAGGTACGGGATTGTGACTAGTTACATGGTTACATAGTTACATAGGCTGAAAAGAGACATGTGTCCATCAAGATCAGCCTTCCTCACATTTGTTTGACTATGGCTGCATAAACTGAAAAAAATGACTTAACTCATTAATGGCATCACCCTACCATCCAAGTGCCTTTATTTATATTTATTATTTTTTTTTCTTCCATTAAATCTCAATACCTGGGCATCTCCATTTTGTTCCCCTCTGTCCATGATGTCAGTAGCTTGCCCTTTTGTGAGATTCTTTTGACTGATTGTGGGTTAACAAGCTTAAGAACCGAAATGTAATTTTGTTTAAACTCAGTCTATTGCCAAAATCGCTGAAAATTAAATTTTAACAGGACACTCTGGGTATATATATAAAGCAACAATGTTACATTTGTAAGAAAATGCAACAACCATTTGCTTCTTACTTTTATCCACCTAATTATATAAATAAAAATTATATATAGCTACCAACTCTTGAAAAAAGCCATGTAAAGGTTTTAATTCATATCTTTCAAAGTTTTCATTTGTGCAACCTTAGAGAGTTCACAAAGATTGACTGTTACTTCCCCACCGACATTTGTACAGATACCATTTACTTCCTGGGGAAGAATTGCAGTCAAGTTAGCTCTCAAAAGGCAAAGGAAGTTACTGCAATGTGTATACTTAGGGCACCATTTGATCTTGGCACACTCCTTTTTTTTATAACACATTGCAGTTAGCTTCCTTTCCCTTCAATGGGGAAAACTGCAATAGGAATTATTGGACCTGTCCCCACAATCTATAATTACAACTATAATGTTATCAAACCCATGAAGACTACAAACACAGAGGTAGGCATTACATTAGTCCACGAGCCTTTTAATCCATCACATTTACTTTTTGCACTGAAAGGGTTATTGATGTTTAAATCACATCATTGTATCATTTTTTGCTTTTTTTAATGTTCACAGAGATGTGAACTAGTACCATACGGTGCCGGGAATATTAGCCCTCCAGGGTTATGCACACTACTGTTTTCAAATCTGTTATTTCATCAGATGTGCCAGTCGAAATTACTTCTGCAACATGGTCAGAACCAACCTGGACAGATTTATGAAGCATAGAAGTGCTGTGGGCATATTTTTTCAAATCACCTGGAGACAGGCAGGGAATTCTCTCAAGATTATCAAATCTACTGATTTTCATGCATGTCATGATTCTTCCAACTGGCCTGTTTAAACTAGAGACCAGAGAATATGTTACGTGTCGTAAACACAGTGCTGCTCTGATTTTAAAGAAAATGCACCATATTGTCCTAATTTCTCTGCATTCAGGGGACATATGTAGAGTGGTTGTTTTATAGTGTAAAAGTTTCCCATCATGCACCATTTTTAACAGTATAACCCATCGTCAACCTGGTACCTACCGCCCACTAGTGGGTGTTGTAGGATTCCAGGTGGGCAGTAGGGATTTTCTAATTTTGAGAGACTGGGCAGTCGGGCGGGTGTGAGCCGGCGGTACCCCTGCGACCGGGTACCGCCATCACCACTTGTGGCCCCCGCTGCAAACCGCCGGGGCCGCATATGGAGGGGTTCATCGGGTGGCCCATGCTGTCAGGGCCACCCGATGGATGTGGATTGTGAGGGGGCCCGGTCGGCGCAGGGCGCTTTAACAGCGCGACCGGGCCCCCTGTGATCACATCACAGAGCTGGGAGGAAGTGACTGCACGTCACTCCTCCCAGCTAACACTGAGAGCCACACGGAGGAAGACCAGGGAGTCAGAGTGGGAACTCTGACTCACATCCACCTGAGCCACCACTGGTGACAGTGGAAACAGGAGGGTGACTAAAATATTTTGTGTGTGTTTGTTTGTGTATGTGTCTTTGTATGTATGTCTTGTGTGTGTCTGTATGTGTGTATGTATGTGTGTCTTATGTATGTGTCTTTGTATGTATGTGTGTGTCTTGTATGTGTCTTGTGTGTGTCTTATGTATGTGTCTTTGTATGTATGTATGTGTGTGTCTTTGTATGTGTCTTGTGTGTGTGTATGTGTGTGTGTCTGTCTGTCTGTATATATGTGTGTGTGTGCCTTGTCTTTGTATGTATGTGTTGTGTGCGTATGTGTCTTTGTATATATGTGTGTCTTGTGTCTGTCTGTATGTG